GCCCTCCGGCTGAAGAAATTCCTCCTGAACTCAGTTCTAAAGGGACGTGCCTTCACCCTGAGGCTGTGCCCTCGGGTCCCGGTCTCTCCCACTCGTGGAAACATCTTCCCGCTCTATCCAGGCCTCTCAGTATTCTGCAGGTTTCAATCAGAATCCCACCCCCCCCCAACCCTCCACCTCATCCTTCTAAACTCACCTGCTCCTCATATGACATTCCCGGGATTATCCTTTGTAAACTTCCCTCTAAGGCCAGCGCATCCTTCCTTAGATGCAGGAGCCCAAAACCGCTCGCGATATTCTGAATGAGCCTTACACAGGCCCCAGCAGCGCATCCCCTGCTCTAGCCCTCTCCAAATGAATGTAACTGAACCTGCAGGTTAACCGTAAGATAATCCCGAACTGGGACTCCCAAGCCCCTCTGCGCTTCGGAATTCTGAAGCCTCTCCCCGTTTAGGAAAATGGCTCCTGCTCTTCCGAGCAGCCTCACTCACCCTTCCCCTCCTTGTGGTCCGTCTGCTGCTCTTCTGCCCCTCTCTCCTAGCCCCTTCCCTCTCCTGGCCCGAGCACTGTGTGCAGTTCACGTCCAAGGGTTATCTCCCGGAGCCGGGAAACGTTTTAGAGGAACCTCTCCCTTCGACGAAGCCGGGAGGAGGCGAGGAATATAGTTCTCCCAGAGGGTCGGGAGTCTGCGACCACCCCTCTCTCCAAAAGTGATGGGGATGGCGTTGCTGATGTACTGACAGAGAGAGACTTTTGGCCAATATGAAGGGGGGGCGTAGTGGTCAACAGGGTATGTGGGGGTGGGGTAACGGCGAGAGAGGAGAATTGAGGCCAGGATTAAAGGATATAGCGGGATATGGATCATGGGCGGAGAAATGGCAGATGGAGTTTATTCCGGAAAAGTGCGAGGTGCCGCACTTTGGGAGATCAAACATGAAGGAAGAGTGTACAGTTAATGGCAGGTCCCTCAACAGCATTGGTTTACAGATGGATCTTGGGGTTCAAGTCCGTAGCTCCCCGAAAATGTCCGCGCAAGTAGATAGGCTGGTAAAGAAGGTGTATGGCATGTTTGCCTTTGTTGGGCCGAATGGCCTGTTTCCACACTGTAGGGATTCTATGATTCTATCATTGGAGTACAAGAGTCAGGGTGCCATGCTGCAGCTTTATAAGACTTTGGTTAGGCCACATGTTAGAGTATTGTGTTCAGTTCTGCATGTGAGTGTGAGAGTGTGTCTGTGTGAGTGTGTGTATGTGTGAGAGAGAGCGTGTGTGCGTGTGTGAGAGAGAGAGAGAGTGTGTGTGTCTGTGTGTGTGTGAGTGAGAGTGAGAGTGTGTGTGTGTGTGAGAGAGAGAGTGTGTGTGTCTGTGCGTGAGTGTGAGAGTGAGAGTGTGTGTGTGTGTGTGAGTGTGAAGTGAGAGTCAGAGTGTGTGTGTGTGAGAGAGTGTGTCTGTGTGTGTGTGAGAGAGTGTGTGTATGTGTGTGAGAGAAAGAGTGTGCATGGGTGTGTGTGCGTGTGTATGCGCGTGAGTGTGCATGTGTGTGTATGTGTATGTGTGTGTGTGTGTGAGCGTGCGAGTGTGTGTGTGTCTGTGTGTGAGTGTGTCTGTTTGTGTGTGAGAGAGTGCGTGTGTGCGAGTATGTGTCTGTGTGTGTGAGTGTGTGTGTGAGAGAGAGTGTGCGTGTGTGTGTGTATGAGAGAGAGTGTGCATGGGTGTGTGTGCACATGTGAGTGTGTGTGCGCACGAGTGCGCGCATGCGAACGTGTGTGTGTGCACATGTGAGTGTGTCTGTGTGTGTGTGAGAGAGTGTGTGTGTGTGCGCGAGTGTGTGTGTGTGCGAGTCCGCGAGTATATGTGTGCGAGTGTGTGTGTGCGAGTGAGAGCGTGTGTGCGTGTGTGAGAGAGAGAGTGTGTGTGTGTCTGTGTGTGTGTGAGTGAGAGTGAGAGTGTGTGTGTG